GATTGGGTTAATGAGACCGCACCGGACTCCTCTTTTGAGCTTAGAGGGACGCTTTACAAGCGTGGATATTATTTGGCTGATGGAATATATCCGGATTATTCCACGATTGTCAAATCTCTCTCCGAACCAATGGGTCTTAAACGCTAAACCTACAAAAAAGCTCAAGAGGCGGCGAGAAAAGATATTGAACGAGCCTTTGGGGTCTTGAAGGCTAAGTGGCACATTCTAGATCGTCCGTCGAAATGTTATTCTCAGACAAAAATGAGGAATATCATGTACGCATGTATTATTCTTCATAATATGATCATAGAGGATAACGGGTCTGCGATTTGTCAATACAACCCGGACGAGGAGGTGCCTATGTACGAAGAAATCACCGAAGAAAAGAAACGACGCAACCGCCAAGAAATTCGAAGCCGAGAGATTCACAACGCACTAACGGCGGATTTGATCGAGCATATCTTTAGTCGTACGAATAATTAGTGATTTCTTTATACTGTTGTTTTTTTTATGTAATTTTTTTTAATGAATGTAATTTTTTTTAATGAATGTACGGGTTTGAATACTTTCATAAGATTGCTAATGTTGTTTATTTTTTTGTTTGAATTATAAAATTCTTTATATTTGTTTATATATTCTATTGTAACATCTATTTCGCTTATAACTGTTTACACAAAAGTTCAAACCTATTAAACTTTATACTGTTGGCCACCTTTTCACGAGATCAACCAAATTACCTTACTTTTAAATCAAAATATTGACTTTAGAAATAATTTATATTTTTTAGTCAAAAAATAGAATAAATATTATATTTATTTTTTCTTAAAATAACTACTAACTACTAAGCCGGTTTTTGGGTCGTTACATTAAAATAGACAAATCCATTATGGGACACAAGTAGTCATTAAATACGTTTTATAACATTTTTAAATGGGTATTGAATGAACTCATTCCAATATTTCGAGATATATTCAAATAACGAACTGAACTATTCAATATGATATCAGTAAAAACTAAATCATTACTGTATCGGACTATGCTCACCCCTAATAAAACACCCTCTTTCTCTTTATAATCTTCTTACTTTTTTTGGATGTTCCAAATAAAACTTGTTATCTCCTCTTAAAAATGATTGTATGATTCAAATTTATTTTCTAGTTTAGTCAGTGTGGTCATCGGTGTCGAAGGGGCGTGCTCGTTAGTGTCGAAGGGGATTAGATCCCCTAGTCGGGACTCTGGGTAACGGGATCTATAGATGCTGACCACGCTAATTAAACTTCTTTGTAATTTTGGGGTTTTTATTTTTTGGTTTCTAATTTTAGTTTCCAATTTTATTTTATTATAATTTTAAAAAAAATTAAATGAAATATTATAAAAGAAGTACTACCTCCGTCTAAGTATTTATCTAGTTTTAACTTTTTACAATCACAATTGATATATTTTACCATAAATTAAATAAGACTTAAACTAGATTTTTTTTTGAAGGAAAATCCAAATTAGATATTTAAACAAGAATAATTCTTTTTGTATTTATCTTTGTAAAATAATTTCAAAATATTGTTTTATCTAAATAATATATCAAGTATTTTTATTTAATTTTATGTCAAATATCAATTCTAATTGACATTAAAACTCAGCGACGCACGTAGTATTTAATAACAAGACTTTAAAAAATGATTTGAGATAGAATGAGGGTCCACACCCTTGAATGTGGGTGAAATGACGATAAATGAGAAAACCCGACGTGTTGCTGAATTGGAAATACGGTGAGAATCTAACGATCCACACCAAAAAGCTTTAGCATTTATGTTTTTAACTTATTGTTTTAACGTACTATATTATTTATTTTTTGGAATGAGATCAGATAAAAAAAATCTTAAAATAGAAATACAATAAAATTAGATCAAAACGTATCAAATAATTACTCCCTCCATCTCTAATTTGATTACAATTTTTTTCTCTCCTTTCAATAACTTTGGTTTGATTACGCGATTTTCTTAAGTATTTGATAAAATAAAATATTCTTATCACCTATTGTTTTGTAGAATTTTTGACATAGTTTTTTAATATGTAATTTTTATTTCTTATCGATATACAGATTTATAAATAAAATAATTTCAAAAAGTATGATATATCTCCTCGTAATCAAATTGGGAACATAGGAAGAAAAATGCTAGGGGTACACTAAAAGTGTACCCCAAATGTCCCCCACCCCCTACTTGTCCATAATAATTGGCAAGAAATTCAAACAAAAATTTCTAAAAATTAATTAAAGATATGTGGTGAGAAAGCATGTGGTGTACAATTGGGATACACCTAGCATTGCTCACATAGGAAGTTGAAAAGAACAAACCTAGAAAGTCACCCATTCCCCACGGGGTCTACAAGAATTAATTGGTCAATAAACTTGGCAATTAACTGACGGGCCTATGCGAGTGCGGGCGCACGAGCGTCTGGGTGCGCACGTACGGACTGACTCCCTTTTATTTCTATTTATGCATTCGCCAGTAGCCCATACACTCTTTCATTCCCATTTCCTTCCTTCCATTTATTCCACTCTGTATCTCCACCCATCTCACTCCCTTCCTTCCTCGCCGCAGATGGATATTACTTCGCCTCCGATCCCTTCTTTAGACTTTGACAAGCTTAGAGCGATCAAAGTACTGGGCAAAGGCGCCATGGGAACCGTCTTTCTCGTCCACAATACTTCCACTGACCCCACCGCTCTCTCCCCCTTCGCTCTCAAGGCCGTCGACAAGTCCCTTTCCACCGACGACGAGCGCCGCCGTGCTCGCTGGGAGATTTCCGTCCTCACCCGTTTCCGCCTCCACGACCCGCCCCACCCGTTCCTCCCCTCTCTCATCGGCTCCTTCGACGGCGACCTTCTCTGCTGGGCGGTGCCGTACTGCCCCGGCGGCGACCTCAACGTCCTCCGTCACCGTCAGAACGACAGCGTCTTTTCCCCCTCCGTCATCCGATTTTACCTGGCGGAAATCATCCTCGCCCTCGAGCATCTCCACGGATTGGGCATTGTGTATCGCGATTTGAAGCCTGAAAATATCCTCATTCAGCAGTCCGGTCACGTGACCCTAACCGATTTCGATCTTTCCCGAAGCTTGACTCCTAAAATTCTCGACCCGGTCCACGTTTGCTCGGATCCTGAACCAGAAACCCACCTGTACAACAGATCCTCCAGGCGCTTCCTCCTTAAGGGGAGAGGGACGAGGAAAGGGACGGTGAGCGCACGCGTTTCGCCGGTGAGCAGGAGGAGCCCGGGTTCTTTCTACGAACGCTCGAATTCCTTTGTGGGCACGAATGAGTACATGGCGCCGGAGGTTTTGAGAGGGCACGGCCATGAATTCGCCGTCGACTGGTGGGCCCTCGGAGTGCTCTGCTACGAGATGTTGTACGGAAGGACTCCGTTCCGGGGGAAGCACAGAAAGGACACTTTCCGGAGAATACTGGTGATGCAGCCTGGGTTCGTGGGGAAGCCGAACGCCTTGACGGACTTGATCGGAAAACTGCTGGAGAAGGACCCCACGCGCCGGTTGGGGTACTGGAGAGGCGCTTCCGAGATCAAGGAACACGACTTCTTCCGGGGACTGAGATGGGATTTATTGACGGAAGTTGGACGCCCGCCGTTTCTGCCGTCAAAAGATGAGACGGAGATTAGTGGGAAATGCGGGATCGATATCCGGGATTACTTCGAGAGGCTAAAGGCTCCGTCGTCGCCCTTGTGGTCGCCGTCACCCGATAACCGGAGACATAACGTGTGGCTGACGGAGTTTTAACGAACGCGTTTGTAAAGAGGGTGTTTTTATTACGTACTAATGGTATAATGTAAATAGTACCCCGAATAAATGAAGACGTGATGAGCGGCATTGTTTAAGAGAGCTGTTAATCATTTTAGGAACATAATCATTAAGTAGGCGCATTTGGTGTTTTTGGCCGTTTACTTACTTTTTAGTTTGAATAATGCTTGGTTCACAAACAAAATAGTCACAAACTTCACAAACTTACTAATTGTGAACTTCAATAAATAAAATTAAATAGTCTAAAATAATTTTAAAATGAAAAGTTAAACCATAAATAGTAATTTTGTGAAGTTTGTGAGTATCCTGTTTGTGAATATAGCATTGTTCTTTTAGTTTACACTTAGCAAGTTTTTTATATTTCCTCCCAACAAATTCCGAGTATAAGTTAGAGAACAATTTACGAGATAAAACTATGGAATTAGAATTGAGGATTTCAATTCTAATTCTAGTGTTTGGTAGCACGAAAATTATGTGGATTAGAAATTGATAGTGCAAAAAATGAATTGGTGTTGATGAATTCAATTCTATGAATTCATCTCTTTCAAATTAAGTTGTACATTTACTATTTATAGTTTAAATTTTATTTATTTTTATTTTATTTTGTTACTCATTTAATAAAATAATATAGTCATGTCGCATTTCATTTTGTAAGTTTTTTCATGCATTTTATAAATGAGAAATACTATTTCTACCATAATGGTGTACCCCAACTTGTACTCCAAAGATTCACACTTATACTTTGATGGTTTACATTAACACAGAATGTCAGTGTAAAATTTTGCAATCGTAATGACATTGTAAGAGTAAATCATAAAAGTGTAAGTGTAACTCTCTGGGGTACAAGTTGAGGTACCATCCTCGGGGAATACCTAGCATGGATAAATATCTAAATTTTATTTTTTAATTCTACCTATATTTTCAAGTAAATAATGGTATTGAAAAAAGCTTTAGTTAAATATCGTAAATAAAAACAAATTACTTAAATTGGGACAGAGAAAGTATTTTATTAAATAATCAATAAAAATAAATCAGTCATGTTCCAAAATAAAAAAAGTAGTTACTATTCTAATTAATGTCAAACTTTATTCATTTTATTTACTTATTATGTCACTCATTTGATAAAATAAATTTACTTTCATTATTTCTCTCTTTTATTTCGTTTCAAGAAGACTTTCATAAACCTATCCAAACCTTCACCTCGTTAGAAAAATTAGCTAATTCACCTCGTCTACTCCTCGAGAGACACGACAATCGGAGAGAAAACAAACCCTTTACTGGGAAAGTTTGCTACCCAGAAAACTACAATTTATTAGAAGAATTTCCAAAAATGATGCATAAGTTAACAAAAGAAGATGTAAAATGATTGTGCACCCTTAATCAAAATCCTATTTTCATCAGAAGAAAAAACGAGTGTTCGGAAAACAACGGAACTTAAAAATTATTCAGTCTATGAAATGGAAGAAATTTGATGAAGACATTGACACTAAAAGGAAGTATGATGAATACTTGTATATGAGTAGCTCCTATACCCATCAGTGTATTATCTGTAATCTAATAATCTTACCCTTTTAAGTGTGAGAGTAGGAGATGTGGAAAAGATTGTGGCATCTTCCTTGCCACCACACCAACATGCTTCGGCTATGCAATAATTATTTGGTTGTTACTGAATTCCTTACTCCTCGTTTGGCTACATCCACTCTGAAATAATTATTTGATTTTTACTAAATTCCTTACTCCTTGTTTGGCTACATTCACCTCTTTTAATATACTAAATGAACACGTTTATACTTCATGCTTAGAAAAGGGAAAGAATGAAGCGAAAGGACAAAGTTTTCGATTTCTTATAAATGGAGTAGATTTGGTAAAATAAGAAGTTGATTTAGTACTATTTTAATTATTTTATTGATGAAAAGGTCAGTCTAGCTTATAACCCAGGACGAATATACTACTCCCACCGTTCTCAAAAACACTTCCTCTTTCATTTTTTTCACTTCCAACAAAACACTTCCCTTTTCTATTAAAAAACCACTTTTACCCTTACTTTTTCATAGCCTACCTATCACATCAGACTTTTTCTCTAATAATCTATCCATCACATCTTACTTTTACCCATCACATCAGGGGCAAAATTGGAAATCAACTATAATTTAACACTTCCTTATTTTTGCCCCAAATCCAAATGGGAAATGTTTAGGGAGTACTTGTTTATGGGGGGCACCGGCCCCTATCAAATGTTCTTTTAATATAATGTCTAGAAACATACTTGATCCGTCCCTGAGTGTTTGTCTACTTTTGACTTTTGGAACTGCTCATCTAAGCACTTTGACTTATCAAATTCTTTCAATATGTAAGCCTAAAAATAGTCATGTGTGATCTTGTTTGATTCGTCTTAACATATAGATTATTAATATATAATTTTTATAATTTTTTAATATACAAATTACAAGATAAAATGGATTAAAGAAGTGCATTGGATGGTGTGCAAAAATGAAAGTGGACAAACACTCAAGGACACAGGGAGTATAAAGTAGGAGGACTGAAAATAGAAAATCTGGAGTATAAAATATAAAACCAGCATGCATATAAATTCAGATTTGTAAACAAACCAAAAATGGAAAAAATAAGTTCGTATTGAATTCGTATTAATAAATTATACCAAGTAATTGGTAAAACGTATAACGAACCAGTTGTTGGATATTCCGTACTTGGTCTGTCCCTGAGTATTTGTCCACTTTTAACTTTTGGAACTGTTCATTTAAGTACTTTGACTCATCAAATTCTCTCAATGTGTAAGCCTAAAAAAAGCCATGTGTGATCTTGTTTGATTCGTCTTAACATATAGATTATTAATATATAATTTTTATAATTTTTTAATATACAAATTACAAGATAAAATGGATTAAAGAAGTGCATTGATGGTGTGCAAAAATGAAAGTGAACAAACACTCAGGGACGGAGTGAGTATTAAATTTATTTAAAAACTAACTGAATTAGACTAGACTATCATTCATAATAACTACGGAGTACTACGTATACTCCATATAGAAATAGGTAATCTACGAATTTTTTAGGCACTATCAAATGAGAAAAAAAATTAATTTTATGCAAACTTTCAATTTAATTCATTGCCTAAATATGTTTTTTAAATAATAGTCACTCAAATTAGGTAAAACATACGTAGTATTACTATAGATTAATAATTTACTCGCCAAAAGTGGCAACATTGTAAGTTAGAGAGTATACTATAAAATAGGGATGAATGTGGTACGATATGGTACAGTATTTTGTTTGTATCAATACTGTATCAAATATTTCGATTCGGTATGGTATTTTACATCGTACCGATTCCTATTCCAAAATATCAATTCAGTATTGTTCGGGATGGTTTAATTTCGATTTCGGTAAATATTGGGATGAATATATATACGTTTCTAGTTTACACTTTGAAATTCACAAAATTTTTATTTTAAAGGAATCATAAGTACATTCAAATAAAGAAAGATAAATAATTGAAAAATGAATAATTAAATGCAAAAAGTGCTTATAAAACATAGTTTAATGCATACTTCATATTTCACAAATAAAATAGAATGAATGATAACAAAATAGGATTTCAAATATTTGTTATTTTATTATATTCATGTACAAAAAATTAAAATTTAAATAAATGATTATATAAACCGGGGCGGATCTACATGTATGACTACGGGGCAGTCGCCCCTAGTCAATTCTCTTTACTATGTAATATACAGTATTAAAATAATTTTTTTGTATAGAATTAAAAGAACGGCCCCAGAAAAAAATTAGTTTGCCCCCACAGTCCATTGACAAGTAAATCTTAGTTTAAAAGTAAAAAATAATCACTTAAAAACATATACTTAAAAACATTGACAAGAAAATCTTAGTTTAAAAGAAAATCTTATATTATGTTATGATATATTTTATATTTTTTTTCTACTTTAAAAATAATTTTTTTATTTGAATATTTGGTTGAAATTAAATTTATTTATATTTTATCATTATCAAACGCTTTAAAAAATTTGAGAGTGCTACTCTTGAACCCCACCTTACTTTTTAGTGTGTACTTGTTCTGTCAAATTTTTTTCTTAATCCGCCATTGTATATAAATAAAAGATTATTTGCAATTCATCTACTCTTGAACCAATATTTCAAAATCAATTTATGTTTTAATGAAGAAATATAAAAACAATTTTTATATTTATAACATATAGTATTTGTATATATGTTCGGTTCAGTATTTTTCGGTATGGGAAGTTACCACGTACCGATCCCAAATTTCAGATCGACCATTTGCTTAGGTACGATATCATTCTTTTACGTATTTTATTGGTTTGGTATTTTTAGATTCGATAACCTCTATTTTCAACAAATTTCGAGATCTATTCAATACTTGCTCATCTTTACTATAAAACCTTTTTTTCCCATAAATTAGAATTTGAACAAAACCTAATAATCAACACTTAAAATAAGCACCAAAGAACGAAAAATCAATTAAGAGTTAAGACAACACAATTATCACAGTTCGTCACTTTTATAGACAAAAAGAAAATAAATTATTGATGAATAAAAAATAAAGTATTACTCCCGGTAACATTTAAATTTTTTTTTGAAGGGATTTATATTTAAATTTTAATTTAAGCAAACCTGTAGAAATTGGACTGAAAGCCAAAAAAAAGTAGAAATTGGACAACTGGGGCGCAGGCAAACTGGACTGAGGACGAGGTGGCGGCGAGTGGCGGTCAAGGACGGCTAAGGAAGGACAATCGGTTTCAGAGCCACGGATGTGAGCTGCGGCGGGGGCGATCTACTGAGCGCTGAAGACTAAAAACCTATCCCTAGACGCTAGTGACGAATTTCGGAAATCGGATAAATCACATCAACGCCGCTCGGGGGCACCAAACTGGACAATTAGATGCGCTGTCACCAACGCCGGTCAATAAAGCTCGTCTCCGGTACGTCGCCGGGGGGAGGGGGACGTACTGGGGCAGCCCCCTCCCCTCCTTCGATCCTTCGCCAATAATAGTCTAATTCCAGTTAGT